AGGCCCCAGCATTGTTTTCATTCCTTCCGTCTCTTACTCGATGGTATTGAACTGCGGCGGCGACTTTTGCGAGGTCCAAATCTGTGAATGATTACCAGCTGAAAATTCAGCTAGTTCATCCTTCCAACAAACAGTCAGCCCATGTGTTCGGTGGCCTCCCTTTTGAGGACATTTTCTGTATGAGAGATCCATTCCACAGTTCTCAGTGTTCATCTGTCGCGTGTTCTTCTCAATAAATGACCAAACCATTGATTTTTCCTTAGAGACGTATTCCTCTGGATCGCGAAACGAGACATTGATCTCATATCTGAACTGCGCATTCCTACGAGATGTTGAATGCGTCGGTTAAACTTCAAACGACGTCCTTCTAGCGCTCTGAGGGTTGCTCGGAGACCCTTCGACGTAGCCACAGTGTCAAGCCCCGTCTCTGCTGCATAACAGAGCGCTGGGAGAACGAATGAATCGAACAGACGGGCTCGGAGTTGTTGATCCATCAGTTTGAGGCTAAAGGGGCCCGAAGACGGCCTAAGCTGCTCTTCGCCTCCTGTTTAGTTCTTCTTTGACATCTGCTCCTCATTTCACCGGACGTGCGAAATATACGGAACAAGGTGTCTTCGCAATAGGAAAGCCTTCTAATTTCATTTCCTACTCCTCGCAAAAAACGTTCTTTATGAACTGAGTCTCTCCGGGATTCGCAGTCCCATTAACTACGTCGTCCGCCGAAGGCTGGAGAGATATCTCCCATCAACTTCATGTCTGAATCGGAGCGTCGGGGTTTGAGACGGGTGTTGTTGATTAGAAGAGATTGCTCCAGATCTTTTCGTGAACGGTCATCTCATGTTAAGAGGATGTGAAAGTCCCGCCTTTAATCAATAATGTTGTCAGCGGAATATGGTAACTGAGCAGCTCCGGCCGTACTACTTTAGACTTCTCCTCCCTTATTTTCGAATGTCTTTTACGTTCGTAGTCTTCTTGCAATGTTATGCTGCAGTAGTAGTGGCTATCACTCACTC